GCAAAGGTTTGTTGGGTCTCTCATTCTGTTCGGTAGTACATGGCGGAGAAGCAGTGACTGACGAAGCTGGCCAGTGGCTCATGGCATTTATACCTTCTTCGGATGGGTCGTCAACATGTGTAAGTCCTTCCCAATGACATTCCCGACGATACACTCTTTGACATGGTGGACCACAGTCGTCGGCGCAACGCTCGTGCTCGGAGGATCTCAAGTGCTGGCAGGGCTCTCTGGCGTCAATGTCTATGCGGCCTGTTTCATTGTAAGCGATCATTCCTGCAACCCCCAAATCGAACCATAAGGCGTGAAATACTCACCACCGCGCAGATCCCCCTCGCCGTCGCCGCGTACGTGATCCAAGGCGGCCTCCGCAGCACCTTCGTCGCCGACTACCTGCACACGGTGATTCTGTTCGTGGCCATCTTCATCTTCGCCTTCACGCTCTACACCTCGGACGACTACACGGGCAGTCCCGGCCGAGTGTACGACCTCCTGGTCGAGGCCGGGAAGCAGACTCCCCTCGTAGGAAACCGCCACGGCTCGTGGCTCACATTCCAGTCGTCAACGGGCATCAAGTTCGCCGCCGTCATCTTCCTCGGCAGCTTCTCGACTGTCTGGCTGGACCAGGCGTACTGGCAGCGTGCGATTGCCTCGAAGCCCGAGACGAGTGTCCAGGCGTATTTGCTCGGTGGGGTGAGTTTCAAGTTTTTCTCCCCCCGTCTTCAGCCATCTTTCCATCTGGCGGTTCATAGATTACCCCGTTTCATCTCGTAAGAAGGAGTATTTCATACCTGGCATGCTAATTTTTAACAGCTGGCATGGTATGGCATCCCATTCGGATTCGCCACGGTCATGGGCCTAGGTGCCGTCGCCTTGACCGGATCGCCATCCTTCCCTACCTACCCGAACCCTCTCAACGCGGCCCAAGTCGGCGGGGGCTTCGCTGCACCAGCGACGGCGATCGCGCTGATGGGCAAAAACGGCGCGGCGCTGATGCTGCTGCTCCTCTTCATGGCCGTCACGTCGGCGGCGTCGGCGGAATTGATCGCCGTGTCGTCGCTCTGGACGTTCGACGTGTACAAGCTGTACATCAACCCGTCGGCGTCGTCGACCAAGCTGGTCAGACAGGCGCACTACGGCATCATGGGCTACTCGCTGATCCTGTCGGCGTTTTGCTGCGCGCTGAGCGCCAGCGGCGTCGATATCACCTGGATTCTGACCGTGGGGGGCGTCCTCGTCGGAGGCGGCGGCATTCCTCTGGGGCTGATCGTCTTGTTCCCTTCGTGGGTGTCGACGCCCGCCGCGATTGGCGCGCCGCTGATTGCCTCACCCCTCGGCTTGACCGCGTGGTTCGTCACGACGCACATCCGCTCTGGAACCATCACGGCCGTGACCACGGGTGACCTCACCAACGCCCTGGTCGGCAGCTCCGTGGCGTGCGGGATCGGCGCCGTCGTGGCCGTGGTCTTCTCCTTCCTCTTCCCGTACAAATACACCTCGACGGACCCGGCCCATATCGCCCGCGTGCAGAAGATCCAGGGAACCGCAGCCTTGCACGGCCGCGAGGTGCTGACTGAGCTCGCCACCAGCGCCGGCATGGCGCCCCCGGCAATCGGGGATGAGAAATCAAGCGCGAGCGAGACCAAGGCTGTCGCGGGAGTCGTCTCCGAACAACCACCAGCACCATCGTCCACAACCGCGCAGGGCAAGGACCAGGACCATACAGATCCCACCCACGCCCCTGGCGCCGCTAGCTCTCCCGGATCCATCGATGCCGGCGCCGCCACCGGCAACGAAATCGTCGACTACCTGCTCACGAACCACATCGAGCCGCTCGACCTGCAAGCCTACCGCCGCGCCCGCCGCCTCGCCTACTGGGGCTGCGGCGTCTTCTTTGTGTTGGCCATCGTGCTATTCCCCTTCACGTTCTTCGGCACGGGCTACATCTTCACCAAAGCCGCCTTCACGGGCTGGGTCGTGGTCAGCTTCATCTGGGTGTTTTTCAGCGCCATCGCCTGCATCTTTTGGCCTTTGCTGGAGAGTTATCCCACGTTGCGGGATATGGTGGGCATGTTGGTCCGTGATACGTTCGGCAAGGAGGGGAAGGGCAGTGGTAGTGGTAGTGGTGGTAGTGAGGGTGAGGGTGAGGGTGATCACGAAAATCAAGGGCCGGTGTCTGGTGCCCGCGAACACAGTTCGCCGGTTTAAAAGTGAGGATTTTGTATCAAATTGAGTTGGGCTGGGTGTTGTGCTGTGCAGTGCTGTGTTTTTGGCCAGAACATCTGCGGTGTCGATCGAGAGGAGATGGACGACAATAGATTCAATTCAGGAAGACAGATAGAATCTCGATTCCGCCCACAAAAGTTGTCTTGGGTCAAAGTGGACGAAGGACGCGAAACTCGCTCGTTCACTTACTCAATCAGTCAGATAGATTAAAAAGAAGAGAAGATGGTATATAAGGGAAAAGTCTGGAAATGCGACAAGTTGCCTCTTACAGAATCTCAATCCTCTCAAACTAGATTTCGGTTTCTCAACAGAACCAGTCTCAAAGCAACGACAATCAAATAAAAAAGGACGGCTTCTTCGAATTGGGTCTGTTTGCATATGTAAAGTGTTCCTGTACTCCACTTCACTTCGTGCTTGACATCAAAGAGATGGATATCAAAGCTCTTAGCGTATTGAAAATGTATCTGCTAGATGAGATCAAATGCCCAACTAGAGGAAGGGGTTACATTCTCGCAAATTGCTCCGGCATCCTGGAAACCGACTTTACAGGAACGAACGCGTTAGATGGGACTACATCACTCCTACTCTTCCACTCGGGCGCCGCCTCGTTCGCGATGTGTCGTCTCATGTCGTACAGGTTCATCTCGTCAATGGTCAATTTTCCCGTCGCGACCGCCGCCTTGTACCCGATCTTCTGGCTGGAGAAGCCGATGCGCTCGTTGATGTTCTCGCGCGCCCGGGCGCTGGCGGCCTGCACTTTCGTGGCCCGTGGTTTCCGAATCCGCTCGTACAGGGCAAGGCCAGCTGCGACGTCCGAGGTGTAAGTATATTCAGGGCCGAAGATGATGCCCAGCGCGGCGGCATCTTCGATCGCCTGGCACGCCCCCTGGCTCTGATCCGGGAGCATCGGGTGCGCAGCGTCACCGAGGACGCATGTCCGGCCTATCGTCCAGTGCGGGTAGGGTTCGTGCACGAACAGGCGCCATGGCTTGATGTCTTTGGAGTGTCGGAATAACGCCAGCAGTCTCTCGTCCAGGTCGGGGAACGGGGCGAGCAGTTCCTCCACGCTGGCTTCATGGTTCCACCCCTCGGATGCGTGGTCGGACTTTGACGTCGGAAAGAAGCAGTAAAAGCTGTTGATTTCCCCAGAACGACACGGTGAGTAGACAATCTTTTCAATTCCCACACCGCCCCAGAATTCAATGGCACAGTTGCGTGTCAAATCGAGGAGGCCGAGTCGAGATACTTCGCTGGTTTCGATCACGCAGTGGTAGCAGGTCGAGGTGGATTGTTTGCGGGTCGGAATTATTCCTAAGGTACGCCTCACAGCAGACTGTTGATGATGTTAGAGTTGCTGAGGTTTGCTATATAAGAGGAAGCAAAGTGAACTCACTCCGATCCCGTCCGCTCCCACAATCATGTCGTGCTGTGTAACAAGTCCGTTTTCAAACGTCACGATCCCCTGCTCGTGATCAATTTCCTTGCACTTGTGATCCAACCGCAGCTTCGCTGGAGTCCCTTCGCCACGGCCAGTGGCTGAATCCATGAGCATCTCGTGCATATTCACGCGGTGAAACATGTTGTAAACCTGTGGAGAATTCAGTAACTCAGATCCCCGTTCTACAGACCGCCAGACAAAAAACTCACCCATCCCCATTGATCCTTGTAGTCTGAAAGGTCATAGACACTCTGTACCTCGCCAGTCTTCCAGTCGTGGCGGATCAGTTTCTGTAACACCACTGTCTTACCGATAGAGATGTCGACGTTCCATTCTTTCAGCCACCGGGTGCCATTGGCAGCACAACTGATCGAGGCTCCGACTTCTCCAGCAAAGTGGGCTTGCTCATAGATAGTGACGCTGTGGCCCGCTCGACGGAGTGATGTTGCTGCTGCTAGACCACCTTGCTTGTGTTAGAATAGATCTCAGGAATCCTGATTTCTTGGTCTTGCTGCACTTACCAATGCCACCACCGATGACAGCCACATCTAAAGGTTTCCAGCCCTCCGCCATGAGTTCCTATAGTAGATGAAGTTTGTATTTTGTACAATGTCACGCGACTTCCTTAGCGAATTTGAGGAGTTAAAAGGCTCGTTATTGACCCCTTGTTGAAGTATACCAATGGAGCGCTGTCAGGTATATCAAGTACCTTGTCTCCCATGTCTGGTCATTAAAGTAGATGGATTCTTTTGCCGATGCACTGATAACAACCCAAGACATTTTCCTTGGGACGCCTCATTCATTGGCATACTCGTTCCACAGGGTCCCTTGAACATGGTAACAACGCTTGATTGGGAAGAACAAATTGCCGATGCCCGCTTGATATCGCAACAAAGTTGTCTTTTGGCGGCCTCTCGGGTGAGAATTTGGGCGTCCTACGAAGCAACTGGGATCGCGATTCGTCCCATTGTCGGATAATGCACCAGTGCGCTGCCCGCCAACCGCGGATCAGTGAACAATTGGCTGCGTCTGACGTCCTGCTGCAACATCCCGCCATGACCAAGGCAAAGAGAAGATGACTATGTTATGCCAGACGTAGACTATCCGTCGGCTACGGGTGTGGAATTGGAGAAGTGTACCATGAGGAGTTGACGTTTGATGAACTGTTCGAGTGGAGTTGACGCCGGGGGTTTTCCGTGCGATACACGCATCAGCATCTCGACAGTATTGATTCCAGCAGGAATCTCCCCTATGAAGTGAGCTCAAGTGTCCTTATAAAGGGAAAATCAGCCGTCTGTACAGGAAAGGTTATTGCCTTCAGAGTCTACTCAACGCCAAAATGCTCGGTAAAGTAATTCTCGAAGAAGCATTCGCTCTGCCCCGGTTTGCGGAGAGGACGAGATGGTGGGCGTCGATGTTTGCCGTGAATCCAGACAAGCATGCTCGGGAGATGACCGACATCAACGACATCCGGATCCAATACATGGACAAATATGGCGTGGGATACCAGATTCTCTCGTACACAGCTCCCGGAGTCCAGGACGTTTTCGACCGGAAGGAAGCAGAAGCGCTGGCGACCGAGATTAATGACTACCTCGCATCGACAATTAAGGCTCACCCAGACAGGTTTGGGGCGTTTGCGTTTGTCTATCCTCTCGTTGTGCACGAGCCGATGCTAACTCACCTCCCTAGATCACTGTCAATGCATGATCCAAAACAGGCAGCAGAAGAGCTTCGACGTTGTATCACTCAGTATGGATTCAAGGGGGCACTAGTAAACGACACTCAACGCACAGGCTCTGACGGAGACGACATGATCTTTTACGACTCGGCGGATTGGGATGTATTCTGGTCGACGGTGACTGAACTGGATGTTCCGTTTTACCTGCACCCTCGCAATCCCACCGGAACCATGTATGAGAAGCTCTGGGCAGCCAGGAAATGGCTTGTCGGACCTCCTCTCAGTTTTGCTCAGGGAGTCAGTCTTCACCTCCTGGGAATGGTGACGAACGGTATCTTCGACCGACATCCCAAGCTCCAGGTGGTCATTGGGCACCTGGGCGAGCACCTTCCCTTCGACCTCTGGCGTATCAACCATTGGTTTGAAGATATTAAGAAGCCTCTGGGCCTGAAGGAGACGTGTAAGAAGACGATCCGCGAATATTTTGCCCAGAATATTTGGATTACCACCAGCGGTCACTTCTCGACACCGACGCTTCACTTCTGTCTGAACGAGGTTGGCGCTGATCGCATCCTATTTTCGGTCGACTATCCTTTTGAGAAGTTTGAGGATGCGTGCGAGTGGTACGACAATGCTGAGATCAACGAGGTGGACAGGAGGAAGATTGGCAAGGACAATGCGAGGAAGTTGTTCAAGTTGCCAGATTTCAAGGACTGTGATGTATGATGTCGCACCTGCGCATGGTATGGGGCGCAGTCTGGTGGAGCCGACGTAGCTGTCCCTCAGGCCTCGAGTCCCGTGGCTCTTAACTACGATAGCCGACTAGGGTCTTGCTCTGGGCAGTCTCCACCCCCACAGTAGCCTTATCATGCCCATTCTTTACCTAGAACTACTTCTGTGGAGCCCGCCTCGCTCGCCTAGACTGCTGGTCGGCTTGCTTATCTACGTTAACTCCACCACAATAATGACTCCCTCGTCCTAATCTACAAATCCCAATATCGACGTTCTTGTTGCGCGCTCATAGCTACAACATGAACTCAGATGCCTCGCCCCAAGGTTCGTCCCGAAGATCGACAGCGGTCTGCCAAAGCATGTCTGCCTTGTAAGGCCTCAAAGAAACGCTGTAACGCTCAACAACCATGCTCCAACTGCGTCAGACGAAGAACGACGTCGTCCTGTCGTTATATCGAGCCCGGTCATGCCAGACATCTGGTGCCGCAGAGTCGGGATACTCAGCCGCAGGTTCTTAGGAAACCAGAAGATGAGTCCAGCCGGGTTGTGGGCGCGTCGCGCTATGGCAGTTCAACAGTCCGCGAAGTGTCGACACAAATCCCCGGTGCCACCAATTCAGCTTCGCCCGCGGTGTCGGCATCAACTCCCCAGAAGCTCACGGGAGGCCGTATGCTGCTGAATTCCAGAGGAGAGAAAGGTACAGGTTCACGTTTCTTGTCACTAGGAGAGTTTCGAGCACTGAAACGCAGGCCGTCTAGTCTACATCGGAGGGTTCGCCTCGCTATCATTTCTACAGTTCCTTCGACGGACAATCAGGCAGCAGATGGGGCCCTCCCTATTTACCGAGAACACCCGCCGCCATGTAATGCTCGAAGCCACCAGTCTCGAGGATACAAATCACAACTTTGTCGAAGATGTGGACCAGAAACGATCCATGATCGATGTCTACTTTGCCGCTGTAAGTTGCCCCGGGTGAGTTGCAAAGGAGATCACTCACAGTAATAGACAAACGGCATTGTGGACCTATTTTCTCGAGAAGAGGTTGAAGTGTATTTGACAATCGTGAACACCCCAAACATTGAGAAACGCGAGTATATGACGGCTGCACTCGACCTCATCGTTGCTATTGGGGCGCAATGCCGGGCGGCAGATGAATCCGACCGCCAATATGCCGTCAGACTCTTTTCCAGAGCCCAGAAAATTGCTCTCGCCAGCGGACTCGAGGACCCTTGTCTTGACATGGTCCGTTGCTTCCTGCTCATGACCTTCTACATGTTGGGCGCCTGTCGAAGAAACGCTGCATTCATGTACATGGGAATTGCCAGTCAAGCCGCCTCTGCGCTCGGTCTCCATGTCACCGAGCAATATCGCCACTTCAATGTTTCAGACCAAAACGTGCGGTAAGTTAGCATTTTCTACTCTTGAGCCTTTGACTGGCTAACTCAGGTAGGCTTCGCACCCTAAAAACTCTTCGAGTCTTGGATGTGATGTATTGTTCGATCCTCGGGAGACCTTATTCGACGGGGGCAATCAGGACCGACCGTGTCGCACTGAACAATATCGACATCCGCACGAGCAGTCCCCGGGAAATCACACTGAATGCAAGTTTCCGAGTCTGCACGATCATCGCAGACATTACACAGCGACTTGATTGTGACGGATCTATTAGTCTGGGTGCCGCCCAGGAGTTCCTCAAACGCCTCCAAGAATGGAGCCTCAGTCTCCCCGATGATATGCGACAGTTTAAGAAGCCAATTGCCCAGCCCTTGACGCTGCCTGAGCAGGAGCAAATGATCGGAAACATCCATGTCTCTTGCGTCTATTATTTTGCGGTGATGCTCGTCACCCGACCCTTCCTGATCTCACATCTGATGCATCAAATGACTGGGATCGCTGGCGAAGGCTCTGACACAATGGCGATATCCGGAACGCAGGCGGACGTGGTTGATGTGGCCCAGGCCTGCATTGACGCGGCGATGCTGATGGCCAACGTCTGCTATGAAGCCCTGCAATCTAGTATCCTACTCAAGCAGATGTGCATAATGAAGTAAGAAGCTGGTTCCGGGTTTCTGGGCGTGATTTGTGCTGACTTTCTAGGGCATGGGTCTTTGCCGCCGGTCTGGTTCTAGGATTCTCCATGTTCGCGTTGAGCGAATCGCGGTTCGACATGGACGACTCGTTCAACAACGCACGCGAGGTCCTCCGGAATCTGTCCCTTCAAAGCCCCCAGGCGGAACATTACTATGAGATCCTCAGCGGCTTCGCTGATGTCATCTTACGACATCGCCAACATCTCTCCCGCGAAAAGCGCCGGTTCAAGAACAAATATGTCGACCAGATCCTAACTTTGGATGTCAGTCCGAGTGCCGGCGGGTCGCAGTCGACCTCTTCTCCAAGAACGCCACTGTCCACCGAACGCAACCTTGGAGTGGTAGAGTCTGCGGTAGCAGGTGGAAGTGTAATAGGAGGAGGTGATGGCGGTCTCGGGAGTGAGTTTGATCCGAATGAGCAGCTGCAAATGACCGATTACAGCCAATGGCCACTGGAAAACGGCGGTGGCTTCGACTTTGGCATGTTTGGCTGGGACAACTTTGCAATGCAAATCTCCGAGAACTTCTCCCTTGACAACGAGGCAGCCTGGGGCGTCACATGAGGGACTGAGACCAACGGACGCCGTTTTCCTTCCTGAAAGCTTTCGACACACGTTGGTCATTCTTTCCAGGCATGAGCGCGACCATCGTCGTTCTTGAGAGAGCTTCGTTCTGTTACCTCCTGACAGAGTGCTCAAATCTGAATTCAGCGGCCATCATGACCCCTGCTATGAGCCAATCCACTATATGAGCTGGTTTCAAAGCTGTCGCGGCGAAATGGTGGCAGACCAGAGGCACTTGCTCAAATGCAAAGAACAAAAGCCTCCCTGGCGAGGCTATGACACTCCAGGTATGGACTTGTAAAGCCTCCTCGCACCTATACTCCGTTCTGGTGTTGTGCAAGACCAAAGACCTGTCAGCATCAAGTATGAGACTGGACATCACATACGTCTGCGCGATGGGCTTGACCTTGAGCAGCCTGGTCGCCGCTACCTCATCTACAAATATATTCCAGCCTGGGACGGTGATCAGCCCATGCGAACCGCAGTGAGGGGAACACAATCAACACCAGGGCTGAAAACTAATGTATGAGAAACGTGGAGGTTGGCATGCAAAGGGTAATCTCAGCATTGCTATCATGTACTCCAGGTGCGTGATTGACAGGACGACACATGCATTGGTTGGTGCGCATGTGCAAGTACCAGTACAGTAGGCGGAGAGAGGCATGAGAGGCCAGCTGGCTCTCAGGAACTAATACCCACACTTACTCATCGACTGTGTTAGTTAAGCGGCACGATACCTAAACTGGGACAAGGTGTCCTTAAGAATGATGAACCGCGGACACAGCCGGTGCCAGTCACAGTGCCAATGGCGGGGCATGGCGGCATGGCTGTCCCGCCACTACGACTCAAATCGCGTCCCATTGAAAGGCTCTTTCCCCCCTGCGCCATCGCGGTTGCGGCATCGTAGCTGGCCATAAAAAAGTTGAATGAAGTTACGGTGAAACTGTCCTCTACTCACTTGAAGGTGAAGCTGTCCTTTTCTCTTCCCTGACACTGTGTTGTTACCAGGGTATAAATACCTCCCAATCTCGACTGTCAATCGCTTTCCTCTTCATCGACTCTTCACCGCCGCAACCATGGCTGAACTGTACCCCGACCTCAAGGACCGTCCTATCAAGGAGACTATCTGCCTATTCGATGTCGATGGAACTCTCACACCTGCAAGACAGTCTGCTTCTGCTGAGATGCTGAAGACCTTGTCCAACCTCAGACACAAATGCGCCATTGGCTTTGTACGTGAGCCCATTGACCAAGAGAGTACTGCCAATGGGACTGACCTTCGACTAGGTTGGAGGCTCTGACCTTGCCAAACAACAAGAACAATTGGGCACCCCTTCTCTTCCTGTCACCACTCTTTTCGACTTCTGCTTCGCCGAGAATGGTCTCACAGCCTACCGTCTGGGCAAGCCGATGCCCTCCAACTCCTTCATCCAGTGGCTTGGGGAAGAGAAATACCAGAAGCTGGCCAAGTTCTGTTTGAGATACATTTCCGAGCTTGAGGGTCTTCCTCGCATGCGTGGGACGTTCATCGAATTCCGAAACGGCATGATCAACGTCAGCCCGGTTGGTCGTAATGCCAGCAAAGCAGAAAGAGACGAGTTTGAGGCCTGGGACAAAAAGAACGACTGCAGACCCAAGATGATTGAGGCTATTCAGAAGGAATTTCCCGACTTGGGACTGACGTACGGGTACTCCAAGGACAGCGCTCGTTCACTTTAAGCTGACACACTCTAGGTACTCGATTGGCGGACAAATCTCGTTCGACGTATTCCCCACGGGGTGGGACAAGACATATTGCTTGCAGCACATTGAAGCCGAGGCAGATCCTAGCAAAGGCTTGTCTGGAATCAAATACAAGAATATCCATTTCTTTGGTGACAAGGCGTTCAAGGGGGGCAATGATTGGGAAATCTATAGCGACCCTCGGACCATTGGTCACGCAGTCAAGGGGCCCGAGGATACTATGGCCCAGCTCAAGGAGCTCTTTGACGTCTGACTTGCAGCTCGCCTCTGAGCGACGGAGACGAGATCATACATTTCTTCGAGGTAGGAAGCGGATACTGAGAGCCTTTCGGGTTAGACGGATATGACGGGTCGGAAAATTGATTGAACGCTTCAGACGTTAGAGCCATAGACATGGTATGAGCCAGCGGACGGCTTGATATGAGCGAACGATTAAGATGGATTTCCAATGAAATTGACTTGCATTCGCAGTCCATTTCGTGGTACCAACTATGTCGAGCCAGTGCTTCACTACAAATGCCTGTGGGGTCATGTGAGAGCCGAGACTTGAGTGATTATGTGCGTAAGGGAGTGTCCAACAGAGTCAGCCGTGTCGTCC